AGGTATCTTCTCACTTAATAAAATGGCAACATTTTGAGAACAATAAATGTATTGTGATTTCTCTTCCCAGCCACTCTTTATGTGAAGTTAAATACATTCACTCTTTTAAAAATAATCCAATAAGAAAATAATAAGGTATCAACTGTCTCAATGTTAATACGATCTTATTGAGAACATTAGTTCAGATTAGATGGAGTAATACTTACGAAGTGGCCTGTGACAGCACAGAGGGCAGTGGCTTCCATGTCACTGGACGAGGTTACAGAGCCTGCGTGTCTCCACCTACAGAAGGGGCACTTCATAAGCCCGAGCCTTTCTAGGCGTGTGTGTACGCAAGAGCAGAGTGCTAAGCTGGGTGAAATGTGCAGGAACCTTGGTGGGTAGTGTTCTCAGATTCTGGATCCTTCTTAGATACGATCAGAGACGTTTTCTTTGTTTTTATCAGAAGGCAGATTTACAGAGACAGAAAGATCTTCCGTCTGCTGATTCACTCCCCAAGTGGCCACAATGGCCAGAGCTGAGCTGATCCAAAGCCAGGAGCCTCTTCCGGGTCTCCCACACAGGTGCAGGGTCCCAGGGCTTTGGGCCGTCCTCTGCTGCTTTCCCAGGCCGCAGGCAGGGAGCCAGATGGGAAGTGGAGGAGCCGGAACATGAACAGGACCCCGTCTGGGATTCCGATGTTTGAAGAGGGAGGATTAGCCAATAGGACCATTGTGCCGGGTGCAGCCTCAGGAACTTGTTTATCCTATTTCCCCTATTAATTCCCAAAGATTAGAATCTTTATCCACATGATCTTCCTGCTAACTATATTGTTAGTCCCTTGGGGGCCTTAGAAATTTTATTTAGCTTTTAACAAAGCTTGAATGCCCATTTCTTAGCCATAGACAAATATCCAGTGGGACAAAACAATCGGAAAGCGCCTTACTCCCTTAATCCAATTTCTTCAGTGGTAATTTCTTGCAAAACCATAGGGTAGTGGGCCCAGTGCAGTAGCCTAGTGGCTAAAGTCCTTGCCTTGCATGCACTGGGATCCCATGTAGGTGCTGGTTCATATCCCGGTGGCCCTGCTCCCATCCAGCTCTCTGCTTGTGGCAAGCCGAGGACAGCCCAAAGCCTTGGAACCCTGCACCTGTGTGGGAGACCCAGAAGAAGCCCCTGGTTCCTGGCTTTGGATTGGCTCAGCATAGGCTGCTGAAGCCGCTTGGGGAGTGAATCAGTGGATGGAAGATCTTCCTGTCTCTTCTGCTCTCTGTATATCTGACTTTGTAATAAAAGTAAATAAATCTTTTTTTAAAAAAAAACCATAGTATCAGCCACAATGCTGATGCTGCTCAGATTGGCCCTTGCACTTGCACTCCTGCGTATGGTGCTGTGTAGTTTGGTCACTCGCGTGGGCTGCAGCTCACCGGCACGGTCACTACGCAGAGTAATCCTGTCACCACAAGGGTTTCTCGGTTACCTTTTTGTGACCAGATCAGCACCAACCAACACAAATCTGCCTCTGCCTGATGCTAATGTGTTTTCTGTTCCTCATTTTGGAGATGTCGTCATTTCAAAGACTGTTATTAAGTAGGTGTGTATGGTATAAAATGTTTGGAATTGACTTTTATCACTTAACATAATTCTTCCCACCAAGTGTGTTGATTGGACAGAGTTCGTAGGAACACCTGCAGCCTGAAACAGAAGATATGCTTTCTAGAGTTCTCAGCCCTGTTCTAAAGTTCCCAGAAATACAAAAAAAAAATTTTTTTTAATAAGACAAAAAACTTAGACTTGAAGTTTCATCTGCAAAGGGAAGCGGAAATATGTAGAAGTCTGATTTGCAAATTGCATGACTTAAGGGTAATATTGACAGGGATGTCGCATGGTCATGCACACAAGTCTGGGATTCAGTGAGGTGCATCCCTGGCTGTCCCGCACCAGGCCGCGTGTCCCAGGAGCAGTGCCCCTGGCCTTCAGATCGTGCAGGGCACTCAGCCTGCAGCGGGAGCAGTGAGTGCAGCAGGCCTGTGTTGCTACCCTCCCCTCCTGCGGTCCTGAGCCTCCGGTTACCCCAGACGGCCTGGGTGTGTGCAGGTCCGTGAGGTCAGTCTCAGCACATCCCTCGGTGTTTGAGTGGAAAACATAATTTGAAGAAATTGTGTTCTTCCCAGCGAGACTGGGTCTCAGCTTTGCACAGAAATTAATGAACCAACTCCTTAGATTGAGTACTTGCTTCAGCATTACCCCGTGATGGCCCAAGAAGAAATGCAGCTCCATCAAGAGGATTTACTAACTGCAGAGCCTCAGTTTATGGTAATAATAACTTTTAAAATAATCAAAAGATGAACTATTAGAAGTCATCTAGGAAAAATTCTCACATTACACTATACACCAAATAAGATTCAGATAAATTAATGATTTAAAGTGTGTGAGGGTATAACAGATAATTGCAGAAATTGATTTTTATCTGTGTAAGAGAGTGACAGACAGATGGAAAGCTTCCGTCTCTGACTCACTGCTCAGACACTGCAAAAGCTGCAGCTAGGCCAGGCCAGTGTGGAGACTGAACTTGAACCCAGACACTCAAACAGGAATGTGGGTGTCCCAAGGGAAGTGCCAGCTGCTAACCCAGACGCCCGGCCCTGTCTCTTGAATGGAAAGTGCGTGTGCCCTTGGATACAGTGACGGAGCCCTAGAGGAATAGAGGTGGGTAAGGAGACGCGGGCTTGTGCTGGTGTGCCCATTGCAGGAGTATTTGTAGTGAAAGAAATGAACTTCAACATGAACTATCAGGCTTTGTAGAAATGTGAGCATGAAGACAACCATAGCTTAGTTCCGCAGTGCCGTGAGCTAACAGTGAAGGATTTAGGAGAAGGGGCAGCCTCGCTCGCGATGTGCCGAAGGGGCACGGGGCAGCCTCGCTCGCGATGTGCCGAAGGGGCACGGGGCAGCCTCGCTCGCGATGTGCCGAAGGGGCACGGGGCAGCCCCGCTCGCCACGTGCCGAAGGGACACTGCTGCACAAGGAAGCTTCGGCAAGCTCATACTATCCAAAAAAGCAACACACGGATTTCAAAAAATTCTTTTGTGCCAAATAAGCTTATCTTTCTACTCTACTTTTCTGCAAGCTTTTTGAAGTCCCTTCATGTTTTGTATGATTTAGAGCAAGCAGGGGAGCGTGGGGAGGAGGTATGTATGTGTATGTATTTGCTTGGGCGCCAAGAAACATAAAAGTCTGGAAAAAATGTACATTGGCCTGGTAAACCTAGCTATAAATCTGAGGGAGAGGAGGGCGGGATAGAGGCTTCTTTCTATTTTGTTTATATGTGCATTGTTTGTGATTCTCTTTTGTCACCAAGATGTGATTATTTTATAATGTTAAGAAAAGCAAAGAAATTAAATGCTAAGCAACTCAATTGTTGACCAAAAAGATTTGGTTAAAAGAACTGCTTTGAAAAATACAGATACCTTTTGTCTAATGAAGATCAAAAGAGAACAGCAAAGACACCTTTCTCGCTATTATATTGATTTTCTGTATCTGGAATATTTATTTCAGTGACTTCTCCCTCCTTATTGAATTCATAGGGTTTAATTGATAGTCCTTTCTGGAGTTTAATGAAGAATATTTTTGTTACTATTTCCAGTCTTTATCTGCTGGAGTCTCTCACCAGTGGATTGAGTGGGCAGTCAGTAAAGATATCTGGCCTGAGGTCTTGGCTTCCCTTCATGCCAAACCCTGCTTTTCGTATGCAGGAAGTCTCAAGTTTTTCCTGTGTTCATTCTGTTTATTTGCTGTTGCTGTTAATTGTTTTAATATGAAATAGGAGTGAACCAAGCCAACTTGCTTCATTGCTTCTACTGATTTAATGTCAGAGGAAATTGTTCAACTCTAGTAAATACGTGAATATGGCTAAGACTTGATCGTGACTCAGTGCTTAAGACTACCTGCTTGGGCCTGGCGCGATAGCCTAGTGGCTAAAGTCCTCGCCTAGAACACGCTGGGATCTCATGTGGGCGCCAGTTCTAATCCCAGCAGCCCTGCTTCTCATCCAGCTCTCTGCTTGTGGTCTGGGAAAGCAGTGGAGAATGGCCTAAAGCTTTGGGACCCTGCACCCGCATGGGAGACCCAGAAGAAGCTCCTGGCTCCTGGCTTTGGATTGGCTCAGCTCTGGCCATTGCAGCTGCTTGAGGAGTGAATCAGTGAATGAGAAGGGCTTCCTCTCTGTCTTTCCTCCTCTCTGTATATCTGACTTTTCAATAAAAATAAGTAACCCTTAAAAAAAAGAGAGAGACTACATGGCTATCCCTCTCCCAACGGAAAAAAAATAAAAATCAACCATACAGAATGATGAGGTGAGAAGTGCTGTGACTCCCTGTCGCTGTGTATGAAAGTCTGCTTCACTTGACATTGAGGTTTGCCACTGAACTCAGAATTTATTGTGGAAATATACCAGAGAAACCAGAATCATCTCTGAGTTTGAAATAACCCAACCAACTCCACCTTGTTGTGGAGTAGCTTCCTTATTCAAAATGGAAGTGGGAATTGTTCCGCACAATGAATCATCTTTTGGCAAGTACAATGGGATCTTTAGGGACGTTCCACAGCCTCTCGTTCGACTGTTAGGGTGTTTTTAGCTTTCCCAGGTAGGGAAGGAGGTGGCGAGCACAGCCATCATCTTGTTGCTAAAATTGTACAGTAAAGATTTTCCAGAGTTGCTGTTGCAATAGACCTTGCTGCTCTCTCCCCCTCCCCCGCCCTTTCCTGTTGCTCTGCCCAAAGCTGCTTTGTGTCTCAAACGCAATCTGGAATTACTTAATGCTAATGTTTTCTGGTTTAGTATTTACCCACGACGTGAATGTTAAACATTAATGTGGGGAACTCCCTTTTCCTTACCTCATGCCTTTGAATTTGTTTAACTGTTACTTTGCAAGAAGAAAATCTCGTTTTTTTTTTGCCTTGAGTACTTTTTTTTTTCTTTTTCGGTGCAAAGCACATTTTTCTGTTTGTTTCTCCCCCAGGAGGCCGCGGAGCTGCCCTCGGACGCCGCCGAGGCCCCTGCGGTGGCAGCGGCGTGGCAGGTGCTACGGTACGAGTACCACGTCCTGTACTCCCGCAGCTTCCGGGTGCCCGTGCTCTACTTCAGGGCGAGCTTTTTAGGTAAGACCGTGCCCGGGGCTCAGAAGGAAATCGCCACGGTGACATAGGAGGCAGAAAGTGTGTTTGGAAAATTATTCCTGAGAGAGAAGAAAGGACAGGGAGAGAGAGTAGAGTTAAAATAAGAAAACTGCGTGAAGGAAGGCTTCTCCCAGTCCGTTTTCTTGTCCTGTAGCGCCGTGTCCCAGCCTGCAGCCTGCTGCTCAGCCCTGGCCGGCTGCTGCCCGGCCGAGCCCTGCTCCTGTGCTATCCTCACGGTGGACAAGTCGGGACAGCTTAAGGCTGTACTGTCCATCTGCTTCTAACTCAACAGTAAGAAGTCCTTTCAACCTCAGTGACTGCTTTTATTCAAAAGCCCCCTCAATACTTCCTTTCCCAAAAGTTAATAGTTATTTCCAGAAATGTTTACCAGTAAGCCTGAAGTTGCGTCCAAAACGAGCACTCCTGGCTCCCGTAGCCACCTGTGCCCCTGCCAGGCAGGCAGTCAGTTCCTCTTGCTGCCAAGAAGGCAGCACCGTCTCCCCGCAGGCCTTGGCCAATGCAGCTTTCGCCATCAGCAACCACCGGCGTCCTCACCCCTGCCCCTCTCCCCCACCCCGCCCCAAGTGCAGCCAGGTTCCTTCCGCAGAGTCCACTGGCCCAACTGGATCAGTGCTGGGCATGCTAGACCCTGGCACAGGGGAAGAAATGCCACGTGGAGCCCCCTGGGCAGCCCCACCCCTCCCCCATTTCTCCCTTCCTCTATGGCTTTCTCTGCAGCACTTTGCGTTTGAAATGGCCGTCAAACTTTTTTTTTACTAAGACATCTGAAGTTCAGTCAATGATATTTTATTTTTAATTACAAAGTAGCTTAAGCGGCTTCGCAAGCCTGTGGCGGATGCAATCACTTGCGGCCTGCTATTGTTTAATGGTCCCTAATTTTGCAGCACTGTTGGTTTAGTGAACACTTAGGATTTAAAACTCAAGAACAAATTCTCATAGACTCCCCAGTGAGAAGATTTTAATCTGAGGTGCAGTTCCTAAGAACTGACAATTTGGGGTAAATTTTCAACCTGGGACCTGGGGATTTGAGGAAACTGATCAGTCCCTAATTCACAAACTCCTGCTACAGATTTGTCTGTGTGATTATAAACAAAGAGTTGAAACTCTGAGAGTGTCCCGTGCTGCTGCTGGGTCGGGCGTCCCCGGTGAAAGGAGGGTGGTTTCTTGTTCCCAGGGGAGGAAGCGGTCTCTCTTGGTTCTGGTTTGCAGTAACTGCAACCCGGTACCTCCGATGGGCAGGCAGGAGGGGGCAGTAGGACATGACTTCTTTAACACTGTGCCTTCCGATAATTAGTATTCAGCATAAGCGGTTAATCACCGGAGAGGAGCTCCCAGAGACAAAACAAGTTGTTGAGCTTGTCAGCGTCGGGGACTCGGAGGTGTTGAAACATGACTGCATGACTGCCTCTGGCTGGAAGCAGGTCTGGCTGGAAGCAGGGCTGGCTGGAAGCAGGGCTGGCCGGCTGGCTGCTCCCGTGTGCCGACAGCTCCCCTCAGAGTACTGCAGTGGTGCTTTCCTGACAGTACACTTCCCAGGACGGCTTCCTGTCCCTTCAGAGGAACACACGGCTGGGATGCCTGGGTCTGGATTCCCTCAGCTGAGATTTAATTTAAAAAAATGAAACAGGTCATTTATTTTAGGTGGAAACATGCTAACCCCTACTCCATGTTGCATAGAAGGAAGGGTATTAGGAATTTTGAAAGCCATTTACTGCTTACTCAGGCACATTAAGATAGCGAATTTAATTTTTGCAAAACTTACAAAATGTGCTTTTTTGTGGAGAACAAGAAAAATGATTCTTGACCCTGCTCGTATTCTCATGATTTCTCTTTTCCTTCCCACCTGCCGAAGCGCACAGAGCTGCTCGGATGCGCGGCTCTGGAGTCATTGATGCCCTCTGCACCCTCTGCCTGACATTGACTCACCCCGGGCCTGCCCTGCGCCTGTCGGCGCCACACGTCTGTGTCAGGGTGGTCAGTGGATTCCTAATGTCGTCCTCTTAATCCAGGTCCAGATTTTTCTTTGTCTCATTTTAAGAAAGTACCAACCTAAAAAAGATGAGTATAGAATGTCTTGCCCAAGGGTCTTTTTGTTGTTGCTTCAGACTTAGCCTTGCTTTGGGTAGATATTTAGAATTTATTTTGCATTTGATTGTTCATAGAAATTAATTCCTTTGCTTTGCACCAAATTTTCTTGCTGTATCTGTTTGTTGTCTAAAGTAAAAAAAAAAAAAAAAGCAAAGCCAGTGGTAGATAATTCCCTTTGAAATTAGCATCATCCTCTCTAATTAATGAGTTGGTATTTTAGAAAGTCTGTGTTCTGTTTCTTGAAATGCAAAAACCATTAGACTATAACATCCTCTTTTTCCTCTTTGTGGTCTGTTGTCTACTAAGTCATCAAGTCCTACCATGACTAAGATGACAAGATATCTGCTATCCATCCATGTCCCTCCATGTTGGGATGTAGGTCCCGTCACATCATGTGTTCTATCACAAATCGTACCACAAAATAATTGTTCATTCATTCTCTTAGATAGGACTTTGGGGCCAAAAATTAATATTGGGTGTCTATAGTGTGAGGTGCCTGATTGATGATCCCATATATATGTGAGGTGCTTGCAGGACGTGTCATTGTCTGGCTTATTTGTCTTATTTTGACACCCCACCGACAGCACCACCAATTTCAACTGTGGCAGGGCATCCGCGAGTATTTGTCGAGTGAGCCAGTAGGGAAGAACTTGTAGCTGTTGAATGTCACGCCGAGGCGGAAGCATGGTGAGGGCATCCTGCAGGCACTGTGTGGGTCAGAAGGAGGAAGTGATGCTGCCGTCGCCAGGAGGCCTGGAGTGTCTGTAGATCTTGGCTGTTACAGACTGCAGGCTTAGTGGGCTAAGGAGGAGGACGCATCCTGAGGGCTTGGAAGTGGTCATCCAAACCAGCTAGAAGCTGTTCTGCCTCTATAAACTTGATTTTTATTCGACCCTTGAGGCAGGCAGCCAAGGTGAAATAGCATTCCACTGCTCGAGGCCTCTTCATTTCTACCACGTGGCCTATAGAAACTCAGCTTCCAAGGAGGGAACGTGGATTTGAGACAATTACATTCTCCTCGTTCTGTTTTTCTCTCACTGCTCTTGTCACTGTAGGTTTGAGAGAGGGATGGGGGAGGTGGGGGGTTGACACAGTGACGGGCAGCAGGCGGTTATGCTTCAGCCAAACAGAAATAAATCCCCTGCATTCAGAGAGGGTCTGGCGGTGCCGGCGAAGACAGGCCACCATGCATTGACATTCGCAGGTGCACGCTGCTCTATTGTTTTATATATTTTCCTATATTTTGGAAGCACACTAAAGAAGTATTTGCATCCGGCCGAAGCCTTCTATCTACCACTCCCCATCATCTTTAACACTTCCTAACCTTTTCATGCTCCGTTTTCCTTTTGGGCCTGTGGCTTTGATCAAAAACTGATGAAATGAAGTAGGAATGTGGTAAAAACCTGGAGCATCTATGGCATGAGTTGTACCTTCACCACAGGCCCAAGCTTAAATAGTTCCCCCTCACACGCTAACTGGAGATTCCTGCATTGATTTTAGCTTCAATTTCGATTTTTCTCCTACACATTGTCATTTCTTTTGTTCTCTGTCTCTGTTGAGAAATGACTTGAATTCTTTGGCTGACATGTGGTTCTTCTTGGGAACCGTTTTGCCATAGTTCTTTGATTAGCCACAAGGGCTGCCTTTGGCTGGAAAAGGAAGCATCCATCCTGTGCCACAGCCAGGCTACCTGCCATTTCTGGAGACGCATTCCGTTATTAGCTCAGAGAACAAGGCTATAGGATTACATTTATAACCCAGATGTTGCATGTGAGTTGAAGCCCAGTTCCATAGGCCTGAAGGATGCTCCTGGGGATCAGGGCGAAGGACATGGTCCAGGAACGTCCCTTTTCCAGGCAGACTGAATGAGAGCAAGGCGAAGGCCACATTAAAACGGGGAAGAAGGGAAGTACGTGATCGTGGATTTGACATGTGTTGACAAAGTGGCGGCAGGACAGGAAGAAGAGAGTGGAGTATCCCTACCTGCGTCCGACCCCTTGGGAGGTGTGAGGTTCTCCTGCAGGGGGCGTGCAAGAGGAGCAGGATGATTCCGCGTGGCGGGGCCAGGGAGGGCTCCACATACCCACCTCAGCAAACCCAAGACCCATCTGGAGTAGGGTTTTTCTGAAGTTAAATTATGGAAGAAGTGGTTCAAAAGATATGTGGAGATAACTCATGGATATAAGGAGTGGAAAGAGGTTGGAGAATATAAGGCAACAATGAGAACTGAAGTGAATAAGACCCGGGAAGGACTTGAAGAAGAAAGGGTAAAAGTGAAATTTCAGGAAAAGGAATTTTGCTCTTTTAATGTGGTTGTTGTTAGTTAGATTAAAAATTTTAATCTGTTGGAGTAAACGAATTGGGAAGAGACATGTTGTATTTTCAGGGGAAGGTTGTTGCTCCATTACAGCAGGAGTTAACGCAGCCTATTGAGCGCGGAGGGAATAGCTCATTATTTCAGTGAACCAAAAATAGAAAAAAGAATAATCTAGTTTGAGCCTTATTTGCTATAAAGACTCTTTAAAATGGTGCATATAGTTATTTTTATGTAAACCACTAGTTAAGTCTAGCCAAAGTCATAATAAGGAACCTAGAGCATGGATTTTGGTGAGCTAAAAAGAGTCTCAGGATTGGAATGAGATGTGAAGAGCAACAGTGAACATTATTAAGAAGAATAATGAAAAATTATGTAACTAATACAAATATATTCAACCTGAACAGTGCAAATAGTAGAGGAGATGTAATGAGAACTATTTGTTGAACCATGTAAATGTTTGAAACATTATGGACAATTAAGATGGAGTAGGATGCCGGGTTAGAACATGGGCTAGGAATAGAATCACATTGAAAATCAAGCCCACATTTTAAAAAGG